ACAATGTAATCGCACATGCCACACATGCAGTCTTGTCCTTTCTGAAGAAAAAAAAAAAGAAGCTAGGCCAAGATCCTGTTAACTGATTTCTCATTAGCTTTTAGCACAATCCTTTTTCGACAGCTTATAGTAAAACATTCTGCTCACACTGAAAATCTGGCTCTGTAATTGGCGTTTGGATTTCCTGTCAAGAAGACAGGCAAGGCAGTTGGTTGTAATACATCACGCTCCAATAATTTGAACATCGAGGTTCCTCAGGGATGTGTACTCAGTCCTTTGTTCTTCACTCTGCTGACAGATGAGTGTTATATTAAACTAAGCACAAACCAGCTCATTGCATTTGCTGATGACAAAAGAAACTAAATTAATATGAAACATTCTACACATTATACATTTGAATTGACAAAAAAATGCATCGAGAATATTTTATTCTATTCATACTAATTTAGTTTTTCAAACGTTTTGCCTTCAAGGTCAAGAGCAAGCTGCTTCTAAGAGCTTGTAATCATTTATTTTTTTCTTCTAGACAAAATTCAACATTTTTATTGATTCAGAAGCCAGGCCAATTGGCTCAAAATGCAAAAAAAAATTAATTTGCTCAAAGCCTCAATTGAAACTAAACCTATATACATCCAGCCTTTCATTTAGTAAAACTGATTTTCTGTGCATGATTGCAGGGAGTTGGGGCTTATCTCCACTGATCATTGTGCAAGAGGCAGACTATACTTTGGATAGGTCAGAAGTCCAATAACCAAAATCTTAGAGAGAACCCACACGTACATAAAGAGCACATGCTAATTTCTTACAGAAAGGCTCAAGGTGAGAAGAAAACCAGCAACCTTTGTGCTGCAAGGCAACAGTTAACAGCTGCTGCCCAAACCTTTAAAAGCCATCATAAAACCATACATTAAAATAAATTATATTTTCAACATGCGGCTTTAGGCGTGCAATAACTGTAATAAACATTTGTAGTTGTCCAGATTTTATAAATAAAAAAATGTTCAGACCCGAGGAGACAACAGAGAAGTGAAACCTTTTCTCAAAACTATGCCTTCAGGCTTCAGCTCAGACTGAGGAAGTCTCTCGGATGAGGGACGAAACGTTTCTACATTTTTTTTGTTGATTTGCTTTGTTTTGTTTTTTTGAATGTCCAGAGGACCAGATTTAACTTTTTTAGATTTTTCTACCTGGATTATTGAGCATGCATCAGGATATGCCTTCAGGCTTTTTATGGCACCGATGTGAGTTTGTGATTGGCAAGACAACTTTCTTTTTACTAATATTTCATAAATAGTAAACACAAATATCTAGTGAAAACATGAAAACACTGATCTGATTCATAGAGGGAATTGTGTTTTGGCAATGGAAGGTGGAATGCCAAACACCTATTGCAGATGTGAAATTTGGCATAAAGGAAATAAAAAAAACTAGGAAAATAAAACTGAAAGTAGAGCATTAAATTATAATAATTATTAGGAAAAATATAAACTAACATTGAGATTAATCATAAAACATTAAAATGTCACTACAAATAAATTAAAGAATGTTGTGGGTTTGTTCTTTCTCCATTTCTTAAATAACAAAATACTTGTTTCAGGGAACATTTCTGGCATTATCATACTTCTACAATTTAAATATTTTTAACATGTGCCAGACAAAAAGCAGGACAGGTGCTGTTGTAGTTGTTGCTGGATTTTGATTTGTGCTTAGGAACAAAAAAAGTTGATAAAGACCATGTGTATTAGTGTGCCAAGAGCCCGGGGCAAGAATTAAAACCTCATTAAGAGCTGGCAACACCACCACTCTCCTCTTGAATCATGTGTTCACCTATACTGCAACTACACTGTAGCATCAAAGGCATCAATCAAAGTGTATTTTAGGCAGATATACCAAAAGAAATACACAAATTAAATGTTTTAATTTAGATTTTTCATCAATAGATGGATGGGTCTAATGTCCCTGAAGAACAATAAGCCTGAACATGCTGAAAAATTATAACACAAATAACTGTTTAGTCTTGCATCAAAGATTTTTTGCACATACCGGTAGTGTCTTTTTTTTTTTTTTTTCTCCCTTGTCCTGTCCGGCATTGTGGCACTCAGAATTGTAGTAGTGTCTTCTTCAGGTGTCTTTAATAAGCGTGTCTGAATAAAAGCTATTTTGAACATTTAAAAAAAATAGATTTCTGAATAAATTAATTATGTGCAGTATTTTAGGAGTCAATGTCTTACCTGCTGAAGACAGAAATCAGAACCGTGAATTCAACCTCACCTCAAAACATCTAAGCTATCCCTTTAATTAAACTGGGACCAATGTCCAATTGCTATAGCTTTACCAAACTGTTGAAATAAATAGGTGTAAAAAGCTTTTAACGCAAAGCCATTTCAAATCTACAGCCAACAACTATTTACAGAAGAGCTGCAAATCTCTCATTTTCTGATGATTTTATTTATTAAAAATAAAAAAAATATCTGCTGGCGAGTTTAGATGAGCCTCATTTTACTCTTACTATAATGCATTTGGCAGGAAATACTGTAATCTCAAAATTCAGCAAAACCACAGCTTGTTATTTCAACAGTTGCATATATGAGCATTTAACTAAATCAACTACTCATACTTTCATGAAACTATATTTATTTAATGCAACATCTTCAGAAAAACTATAAATTATGGATACATGTCAGAATTTTAACAAAGCCTTTATTTCATAATAAAGCTTTTATAGATAGCTGTTTTATCATGAAGAATTCCAAAATATTAACTATTCAAGTTGTTAACAGTGCAAAGCGTAACATTTCTTTCCAATTATGCAATTTTAAAGACATTCAAGCAACACAAGAATATTGAAATAAATATCGTCTGTTTCTTCAAAAATAAAAACTGTTTACATAGAACAGTGGGGCACAGAGAATACAATAAATAAAAATGATACATGTCCCGTAAGTTTAAATAAAATGGCTGATCAATGACGTTTCCTCTAATAAGAGACACAAGTTCAATCAGATAAAGATTACAGATGTTTTAACTGACCTGCAGCAGTTTACCACCTACTGGTTTACTGACCAATCCAGTTATTTTCAGATTATTATTTTTTTTTTTTTTTTACAAATGCCTAAAACTCTCTGAGGTTGGAAATATCTTTATCTGCCTGTTAGTATATTATAGGGATGCACGATATTATCGGCCGATATTAGAGATAAAGTTAAATATTGAACATCGGCCATTCCATCAAAATAACTCACCGATATAAAAGGTGATGTATGTATGTATATATATATATATATATATATATATATATATATA